TATCATAGGTGATCTGAGTTTTCTCTGTTTGGTTTTGAATTTTTTGTCCTTTCTTTTTCTGAATTTGGAAGAGATACCATCCGCTTTTTGCTCTGATTTAGAGAATCGCCGGAAAAATTTAGGAAGAACGGAGAATATTCCTGGTTTCGGTTTTTTTTGGAATCAATGAGCAACTGAAGGAGAATTCAACATTTCTTTGTCTCCTCTGCTTCTAGTCTCCTGATCGTGTTTCTATTTTTCAACCGATTTTCTATCTGTAATTTTTGTTCATAACCTTTTTGAGGGGAATGAGAGAAATTTTCTTATTGTATTGGCTTGTGAGGATTTTGTGGCACCGTTTTGGTCTGGCAAATGGATTTCTAGTTCTGGTGAGTTTTACTGAATTTGCAGTTTTTGCATATGTGCAGGTTTTATTTATGCTACCCTTAGTCCTTGCAGAGAGGTCCGGTGCACGCCTACTTCTGGCATCTAACGAGTAAGAACTCTATTAATGCTTAATTAGTTTATAGATTTGCTAAATAATATCCTGGTCTCTAGAAAATTACAATAAAATACAAAAGTTAAAGAAATCGGTCTCTGGTAAGTAACTTTACGACAAACAGGCACTTTCTGAAACTTAATTTGAATGATTATGTTTCTGATGCGATTCTGTGTGGCATGTCACTTTCCTGATGGTCTTATCTCTACCTGTTATAAACTACTGTTAGTAATGTTCTGTTTCTGTGTGGAAAACGATAAAGTTGACTAGGTGTTATGTTTTTCTTTTTGTTTAGGCAGAGGCATTCTGAAGGATATTGTGCAATGTATGATATTTGTGGACAGCGTACTGACGGGAAGGTGCTGAACTGTCCTTATGGTTCTCCGGCTGTGAAGGTACTTATTTGGCGCCTCTGTCCTGCAAAGTCCTATTCTGATATTGCCTGTTAAAAGTTGTGGAATCTAATTTAAATTTTATCCCACATTCATTTTGGGTCACCAATTTGTATTCCCCACCCCTCTTTCCTTCTTAAATCAAAATGATGTTGTAACTATTGAATTTGCCTCTGGTTATGTTATTAGAATAAGGACAAAGATGCCTTTAATTCTATTATCTGATGATCTTATCTTATCATGTTTCCCAGCCAGATGAGTTACTTTCTTCAAAGATTCAAAGTTTGTGTCCAACAATCACTGGGAATGTTTGTTGTACGGAAGAACAATTTGACACCTTACGGTCACAAGTACAACAAGTAAGTTTTCCAGTAAACTTTTTTTTTTTTTTTTAATATCATGACTCATGTTTGTGGGACACTCCTCTAACTGTCTGAGGTTGATGAAGCCTTGCTTTTGCAATTATGTCATTTGGTGTCACTAGAGCATTGCATTAGAATATCATACATTTTCTGTTGAAATGCATTTTTATATAGCAGCAGACTAATGGCTGCATGCTGCTTGTAGTGATCTCTGGACTGAGGAAGTGGCATTTTTTTACTTTCTTTGTCTTCTGTTATTTTAGTGACTTACCCTTATTTCTGCAACAGTCTCATTCTTATCCTTGCTTCGCTTGATTTTTGTGGTTGATTTACTATCTGGACGGGCAGCTACATCTTCAATTAGATATGCAGAATTCCACTTTCCTAGGAACTTTAGAGTGTTATTTAATCTTGTAATATAAGGCTACAACAAATCATATATCTTCTATTCTAACTGTTTGAATCAAATTGTTAGGTCTAATTAGTCAGAGCATGTAAACTTCTTTCCTTTTTAATTTCTTTACTAATAATAAGTTTTCATTCAACTTATGCATCATTATTCAGGCTATTCCCTTTCTTGTGGGCTGTCCAGCATGCTTGAGAAACTTTCTGAATCTCTTCTGTGAGCTTTCTTGCTCACCAAACCAAAGTTTATTTATCAACGTGACTTCTATATCCAAGGTCAGGAATTCTCTATATGTCTTGATGATATTTTGTTAGATGTGAATCTGAATTTGATAGTAGTTTTAAGAACATGCTTTCATACAGGTAGTCAGTCACTTCTTATTGGACGTAGAAATTTTGGTTTATATTTTACTCCAGACATTTTATTTTCTTCGCAGGTTAAAAACAATTCGACAGTCAATGGGATTGAATTTTACATAACTGATGCCTTTGGTGAAGGGATGTATGAATCTTGCAAAGAAGTCAAGTTTGGCACCATGAATACCCGGGCATTAGAATTTATTGGTGCTGGTGCTCAAAATTTTAAAGGTAATTTAAGCTTGAGTTTCTTGCAAAGATCTCTCTCTCTCTCTCTCTCTCTCTCTCTCAAGTGTGAGATTGGTTTTGGCAGAGTGGTTCGCTTTCATTGGTAAGCAAGCTGCACCTAATCTCCCAGGTTCACCATATGCTATTACATTCCTGCCAAGTGCTCCTGAGTCATCTGGAATGAAGCCTATGAATGTATCTACTTATTCATGTACTGATGTTTCACTGGGATGTTCCTGTGGTGATTGCCCATCATCTCCTGTTTGCTCTGCTATGGCTCCACCTACTTCTAGTAAAGGGGGTTCCTGTTCGGTGCACATTGGATCTCGAAAGGTTAGGGAGATTAAATTTCCCTTCTTTTAATTATTAGCTATTTTATAAGAACAAACTCCTAGAGGCATATCGGAATCTTTTGACCCTTGGAGCTACCGTGTGTTATTTTTGTTAACTAGTCTCAATGCTTGAAATCTGCAGGCCAAATGTGTTGACTTAGCCTTAACTGTTCTGTATGTTGTACTGGTTTCTATGTTTCTTGGATGGGGATTGTTTCATCGAAGAAGAGAAAGGAACCAGCCTTCTCGAATGAAACCATTTTCCAATGTGGCAGATCATGGTGAACTTGATTCTGTTAGTAGGCACAAAGCTGAGAGCCTTCCTATGCAGGTATATGGATATTCACTAGTGATTTCAGCTTAATCTATCCAATCACTTCTGCTGATTAGGCTATCTTGACTCTTAAGATTGGTAGCTTTGACCAAAAACTGTCATGCATAACTAACACAAAGACTTACTAGGCATTATGCATTTATCTGTTGATCATTCATCCAGGTGGAAGAAGTCTCTGGACTCAAGAATTACGATCCTTTTCATGAGAGATGATTTTTTGGATTATTAAAATACTTTTTATTGTTTAGCAGTTTTGTTTCACAAAAACTTCGGGGGTGCATTTGTATTGAAATATGTTTCATATCTGTTTCAAAGAAATTATGCAGTGTCTGCTCATGAGTCAGACTCTTATTGCAAGGCTACTCACACAGTATACCTCGTTATTCTCAAGTTTGGAACTACTTTTTTCTTTTTAAATGTTACTTTATCCTTATTTTAATTTTGTGTTTCCCCTTTCTTTGAATTTGCATGTCCTTAAGTTAATTCTCCCAGCTTAAGTTAATTCTCAATTTGTTTTTTATCAGAGGCTAGATGACGCAAATCAAACTAGAACTGGAGTTCAGCTTTCAGTTGTTCAAGGATACCTATCTGCATTTTATGGGTATGTTTCTGCCCCAGTGCTTAAATCGGTATATAAAATTATGGCTTTCTGCTTTGTGCTAATATATTTTGTTCAGGAAATATGGAACATGGGTTGCTAGAAACCCAATCCTTGTCTTGTGTTTGTCAGTGGGAATAGTTCTACTGCTTTGCGTGGGTCTAATCCGTTTCAAGGTAGAAACACGGCCAGAAAAGGTATTATTTGGCACTAACTAGCTATTTCTGTTTTACATCAAGTTATCAACTGAATTAGAATCTTGCATCATTATCTGTACCTTGCATGGTTGAACCTAATCATTATCTTTGTTAGTTATCTACATGTTGCTTTCTGTTAACTGTTAACAAGTCTGATGCTTTTCAGCTGATATGTAGTTCTCCAATTTTCATCATTCCCAATTGCTCTTATATAGTTTCAGTAGAAGGGAACTCTTTGGCATCCTACCTAGTGCTCTCATTTGCCGCCAAACACCTCCACACACCCCCCCGCTCCCAAAGGAATTCTATTGTTCAACTCACAATGATCTTTAATTCTTGTTGCTGTTACTAGTTTTTGAGCTTTTGATGCTTTCACTTTCAAATCTTGATTGCAGCAACATCAATCAACTGTTTAGATATAGGATCATACTGAGTGATTTACTTTTGATTTTCATGCTGCTTTTGGTACACATTAATCCCCATCTAATTGTCTCCTACCCATACAACTGCAGCTATGGGTGGGCCCTGGAAGCAGAGCTGCAGAAGAGAAACAATTTTTTGACAACCACCTTGCTCCATTTTACAGAATTGAACAGGTTTGTCTTACACTCATTATTGTCATAACTGTTTTTCAATTCTGCCATCAGATAATGGTGATATTGATACAACAAGACCAAAACAAGTTAGATTTTTACTGTGGTTTGATAAGTATAAAAAAACCTAGCAGGAGGAACATAGCACTTGGTTAATCTGACTTGTAGTCTAAGGCTCTTAACTACTCAAGATGCCCTCAACCAATACAAGGGAGTACAACCAATAAAATCAGGAAAAATCTGGAGAAAATTACATATACAGGAGTTGAGAAGATCTGTGGGCCTTAGTCTCTAGGTCCTTAACCACTTGAGGCCTCATTGGCAAAGAAAAATATATTTTTGGCCAGAAATAAAGAAATAAATATATTTCTATGTATGCAGTCAATAATTTGGTAAAAATACTGTATTGACATTCCATTGCTGTACACTGAACTTTTATGATCTTATGTTGTGTGCATCTAGTTGCATTTTTTTTTTTATTTTTTTTTTATTTTAACAATTATTTCATCCAGCTAACCAATCAACATAATTGTTAACATTGCCATCCCCAAACCGTGAGCAATTTTTTCTTTTCTTTTGAAGACTGGAAAATGAATATTTTCTGCTTGGTACATGTTGGCGATTTCATTTTCATGATTGTCTTTTTTTTTTTTCTTTTTTCTTTTTTAAATTTAAATTGAATGAGCTAATTTTACCTATATTTTCCAGCTTATTTTAGCAACAATTCCGGGTTCTACTCATGATAAACCACCTAGCATTGTGACAGAGGACAATATTAAGTTACTCTTTGATATACAAAAGAAGGTATTCATTATATTTGATTAATTAGTTTTAGTAATTGAATGTTATTTGGAAGTCAATTTGATATTTTTCATTATCTTTTCATTTTTTTTAATTTGAATAATCTATATGAGTTTTAGTTAAATATTACTCATTTTCACAGGTTGATGAAATTCGGGCAAACTATTCTGGCTCAATGATATCCCTGAATGATATTTGCATGAAGCCACTAGGACAGGATTGTGCCACACAAAGTGTTCTACAGGTAAGATATGTGACTGGCAGTCTGCTACTAAGTGATGCATTTGAGGTCCCAATTGAAATTTGAAAAGTGGAACTCGTGAATGCTCTTTATGGGCTATCGAATGAATTGAGATTTGGTTCTCCTCAAATGAGCTACCTCACAGACTAACAATCTATCTCTACTTTCTTCATGCATATTTAGATACCATAAAATTTTTTAAATTGAATGTCTTAAAGGCTCATTACTGTTAAAATAGCCCAAGCATCTCTTTAGGAAATATTGGATTATGGTCCTAGCCTACTTAGATTTCTGCCTCTCCTTATGTAGAGATGTTATTATACCATATGCCATGTGATATCTTGTGTAAGCCACAGCACTAACTAGGATGTACTTTTGGCACATCAGTTTATCAGCTGGGACTTTTCCACCTTTCTACCCCAAAGTTGCTATTTTTTTGCAACATGTATGTCTGGCATTGATGTTAATGTCTATTTGCTACTAAAATTTCCATCCTCGTTATAATTTGAATAATCAATAGAGTACCTTGAATGCCTTTCTTTTTGTTAGTTTTCTAATACTTTTTCTCTTTTCCTTACCTAGTATTTCAAAATGACTCCTAAAAACTATGATGATTATGGGGGTCTTGAGCATGTAATGTACTGTTTTCAGGTATGTTATGCTATTCTACTCCATATTTGCATTGACCATTGAGTTAGGGCAGGAACATGTTCATTTTCTTAATTTGATGGACATTTTGCTTAATTTTTAAATGATCAATATTCTGCTTGCATCTCTGATATACAAAACAAATAGCCAAAGAATGAACAAGAAATCTGAGATGAAACTTTAGTTTTGTTTGGTTATATGAATCAAGCATTATTGTTATAGAATCAGATTTGATGGTTTTGATTTGATAAAAATGGATGTTTGATGTTTTGAGGTTGGTTTTAATATGTTAAATTGGATACATGTGGTATGCTTGTATTCATTGAACTGGTATATACTTTAAAGTGAAACTGGTAATCAATATCAATTTTTGATTTCACATATCAGACTTTTTAGTTATCATCAGCCCTTCACCTGGAATATGGTTCAAAGTTGTTTCCAAAAAGGTGAGCTTGTGGGCGTATGCTTGTTTTAAAAGTTTAAACTGTTTTCAGATTTTGAAAGTATAAACTGTTTTCTTCTTTATCTGACATTGATTGTTTTTTCTATTGGTTCCTCTAAAGTTTTACTTGTTAATGAAATGTTTGATAAGAAGAACCATACCACAACATATGCCTTCTTTTGGTTTGTACGAGATAAGCACCTATAAATGTTATGCTTTCCTTACATCTAGATGTATAATTTTAATGATGGAATTTCAGGACTCAGTTTAGATATTTTCTAGCATCATTAATTTCTCTTTTCTTTTTCATCATATTATCTGACTGTTATTATAATATATTTGCAATGTGTTTCGTTTAGCATTATACCTCTGCAGACTCATGTATGAGTGCATTTAAGGCTCCACTTGATCCAAGCACCGCACTAGGAGGTTTCAGTGGGAACAATTACACGGAGGTAATCTTTCATTCCCCTAAGTTGCAGAGGTCACTTGGTTCATTTTAGCATGTAATAACACTAAGTCATATTTTGGGAACAGGCTTCTGCATTTATAGTAACTTATCCAGTGAACAATGCAATTGCTAGTGAAGGGAATGAAACTGGAAAGGCAGTGGCTTGGGAAAAGGCCTTTATTCAATTGGTGAAGGTTTGCTCTCTCTTTCTCTCTCACACTCATTTTCATTTATTTGTTTCACTCAAAATACTTTTACATGTGATGTTGTATTGCTATGCCATATAACAGGATCAGTTGCTTCCTATGGCGCAATCTAAAAATTTGACACTTTCTTTTTCATCGGAAAGCTCCATTGAGGAAGAATTGAAAAGAGAAAGCACTGCAGATGTCATAACCATATTGGTATTTATTTCTTTATTTTTTGAAATTTTGATTTTTGATAATGCTTTGAGTACTTCTATATTGTCAATAATGAGCCTCTTAAGAAATCTAGCCATTGAGCCATTTCTTGATTAAAAAAGTAAAGAAAAAAATTTCTTGTATATATCGTTTTCTGTTTGTTTGTCATTTATTTAAATGTTTTATGTTTTTCATATTGTTTACCAATGCTACCTCTTATTTGTTTCAGATAAGCTACCTTGTGATGTTTGCTTATATATCTCTTACTTTGGGGGACACTCCCCGACTATCTTCGTTCTACATTACATCAAGGGTATGATCTCGCTCATGATTATTCTTTATGGAACCTGTGTTTTCTTTTGATAGAGGTTATTTTTTCCTCTATTGCAAAATTATAGCCCACTTTTCTCATTCTTATGTTTGAAAACCATTGTCCATAGACATAAGTCTGAAAAATTTGCCTTTTTGTCCTGTCACATCATTTTATCTTTGGCTTTGACAGCTAACAAAAGCTCATAATGTTACCTAGTAGGTAAAAAAATGGAACACTACCATATAAAGAAAATTTGATTCCATTACCTTTAAACTGGTGCCACTTCTGTAAGAAGTAAATGGTGAGACCAGTTTGAAAAATGCTTTAGGAATGTCAGTAACCCCCAATATAACCAAATAGAAAAACATGTAAATGAAATGTGTTTCTTCTGAGACCCTTTAGATTTTACTTCCCAAACCAAGCACCGACTCTGTTATCGATTTATGAAGCTGTGAGCTTGCTGTTTTGGATATTTTACATGCATTGGTTGATGTTACCTTTTTATTCTGTTTTCTTTCTGTGTTTTGTATTTTGTAATATTTGTTGAATTCCAGGTATTGCTTGGTCTTTCTGGGGTTGTGCTTGTCTTGCTCTCAGTCCTTGGGTCAGTTGGATTCTTCAGTGCCATCGGAGTGAAATCAACTCTAATCATTGTGGAAGTTATTCCTTTTCTTGTTCTGGCTGTAAGTTTCATCTTAAAGTTTTTTCTCCATCTATCTATTGTCTAGTTTTGTTTTACTTCACTTTTTGAGCTCCTTTCTTGTAATAGGTTGGAGTGGATAATATGTGTATATTGGTGCATGCTGTTAAAAGGCAACCAATGGACCTGCCCCTGGAAGGACGAATAAGCAATGCACTTGTGGAAGTTGGACCATCCATTACCCTTGCAAGTCTATCAGAAGTCCTAGCATTTGCAGTTGGAACTTTCATTCCTATGCCAGCCTGCCGAGTGTTCTCCATGTTTGCTGGTTAGATAATTACTATTATTGTTGTTATTACTAATCATTTTCCCTGTTTTGTATTCCTATTGTTTAACTTCCCTTCTTCATGCTTTTCTTTTCACAGCCCTGGCAGTTCTGTTGGACTTCCTTCTGCAGGTTACTGCTTTTGTATCTTTGATAGTTTTTGACTTTTTGCGAGCTGAGGATAAAAGAGTTGATTGTTTTCCATGTCTGAAAGTATCTTCATCTTATGCTGATTCTGACAAAGGTATTTTTATGGCGTTATAATTATAACAAATCTAACCATTAACATGAAATCATTGTATGACATTTGAATTTCATTATATAGCTTTTCAGGCTTCATATTCTTTGTCTTCTAAATTTTAGTTGGGAACTAGACTCTTATTTGAGAATTTCATGTGAAAGTTTAGGCACTGGTGAGAGAAGACATGGATTGCTGACGCGATACATGAGGGTAATTAAAATTCCTTTTTCCCTGATAATAAGCACCTCATTTTTTTACTAATCTAAACTAGTGGTTTCAATTTTTTTAGGAGATTCATGCACCCATTCTCAGCCTTTGGGTAGTAAAAATGATAGTCATTTCTGCTTTTGTTGCATTTGCATTGGCTAGCATTGTAAGTTTCTTTGGCTTTATTTTAAGTTCATTTGACATACCTGTCCCTGTAAGTGACCTTTGGATTTTCTGAAACTGATAGGCATTATCTACACGTATCCAGCCTGGTTTAGAACAGAAGATTGTTCTTCCGAGAGATTCATATCTTCAGGTTTGACCTTTTGTTGCTTTTTATCACACAAAAGGTTGAAATATGGCACTCTATTTTATCAGTGTGTTACAGCTCATTCTATTTTCTGCAGGGCTATTTCAATAATGTTGCAGAGTATCTCAGAATTGGACCACCATTATATTTTGTAGTGAAGAACTATAATTATAGGTATTCCAAAGTTATTAGTTCCTTTTGCCCTTTGCTACTGTCTTTGGCCTTTTGATTCTTCTTGGAGTTTACTCAGCAAATTATTACTTCTCACTCTGTATGCATTTATCATATGTTGGTTTTCACTTCTTTTCACACATAGTTTTTGTTCAGGTTATTAATGTTTAGAGTTGTATTTACCTTACTATGTTTTGGAAAATTGAACATCTTTTTAGTTATTGTGATTATTAAGTCTCTGGGACATTTGTCTCACTTTGCCTTACTATCTTTTTCAAAAATTTTTGGGTTTCTTTGTTTTATTTTCCTGCATATTAAGGCAGTTATGGTGGGAACCGATTAGACATTCTCTTAGTGAAAGCTTAACACAGAAATGATTGAAAATGCATTTCTAGAGCAGCCTCCTGTCAAATGTGTATGTTGTTTAAGAAATAGCTTACTTTTAGGAAGTATGCAAAGTTTCATTAATCAATCTGCAAGATGTTACATTATTCATGTTATTTTGTTGTGTTTTGCACTGGAGATATATATTCCATGCTGATGTTACTATTTTCCTCAGTTCAGAATCAAGACAAACTAATCAACTGTGCTCCATCAGCCAATGTGATTCAGATTCTCTTTTAAATGAGGTAGGAGTTTTCTTCACTTAATCAATGCTATTGTCTGTGTCTTTGAATCCATGAGAAAAAAGGGGTTTGATTTGATTTAATTCGAGTAAATGGTTCTCTACGTCAAGTTCTGTACCATAGTATTAGTTGTATGAACTAACCCTATGATGGAGTAAACTCTGATGTAACCTTTTTCCTGTTGCTTTGTAGATTGCAAGAGCATCCTTGACAGCAGAATCAAGCTACATTGCTAAGCCAGCTGCTTCGTGGCTTGATGATTTTCTTGTGTGGTTATCTCCTGAAGCATTTGGTTGCTGCCGCAAGTTCATAAATGGGAGTTATTGCCCCCCTGATGATCAGGTAATATTTCTGTCATTGTAGAAGTCCATTATTTTATTTACTGTGATGTGAGCCAGATGGTATTCCTAGAAACCTAACATCCAATTAGCTTCTTGCTGTTTCATAATTACAAGAATCTTTCCAACATTTAAGGTTTCTTGACAGTTTTTATTCATTTTCTATATTGGTAAATGAAATGCAATCACTTAAGTTGTCCTTTCTTTTCTTTTCTTTTTCAGCCTCCTTGCTGCACTAGTGCTCCTTGTAGTTTTGGTGGAGTGTGCAAAGATTGTACCACGGTAATCCACATATTTATGTAAAATTCTGTTTAATCTTCTTTAAGGCAGTTTTATTTTGTTGGTCTTGGTCAATGGTCAGAGTTGTGTTTCTCACCTTCAAATTAAACAGTTCATCATATTAACATTTTTGGGATTCTCCAGTGCTTCCTACGCTCTGATTTGCATAATGACCGCCCATCTACTGCACAATTCACAGAGAAACTTCCATGGTTCCTCAATGCTTTGCCATCTGCTGACTGTTCTAAAGGCGGACATGGTGCTTACACTAGCAGCGTGGAACTGAAAGGTTTGTGAGATGATCTTCATGATTATAGCCATTATCTATTCTTTATAGACAAGTTTTTACCTTTGAGACTGGGGAATTGGTAACATCAATGTCCCATGATCTAAAGCATTTTGTTTGTTATATTTTTTTTGCAGATTATGAAAGGGGAGTTATTCAGGCATCATCATTCCGTACATATCACACACCCCTCAACAAACAGGTGGGTCTACATCATCTAAACAGAAGAATTTAATTTTTATTTGTCAACTTTCTTATTCGGTATTTCTGGAAGTAATGCAATTAATTGATTATTATTGTTCTAGACTGATTATGTTAATTCAATGAGGGCTGCTCGAGAATTCAGTTCAAGGGTCTCTAATTCGTTGAAGGTAAAAAATAATGTTAACCTCCTTGCGTAGACAGTTTAAATGTTAATTCAATCCTAAAATTTTGCAGTTGCATACATCATTACATGTGATTCACGCCCCCCCCCCTCCCCCCTCCAGTTTGTATATAAAATATGATAATAGTTACTAAGGTTTCATTAAGAAACTGAGTAAGCCCCATCAATTCCCTTTTACAAACATCACATGAACTTATCTTGAGCTGCTTATGCAGCCCAGCCATCTATTAATGCAGAATTAACTGCTTACTGGCATTTATCTGTAAGCTTGACACATTTGTCCCTGGTGCAGATGGAGATCTTCCCATATTCCGTGTTTTACATGTTCTTCGAGCAGTATCTTGATATATGGAAGACTGCATTAATCAACCTTGCTATAGCCATTGGTTAGTAACTTTGAAAACCTCCACTTGATTATCATGACATGTATCTTTCCATGGTATTGTTCCTGACTAAAATCAGGAACAATACCTTAACTGGAAACACTGGGATTTTTTTGTTTTGATACTTCCAACTTATCAGAAGTATTGACATTTTTTTTTTATTATCTTTTGCCAGGTGCAGTATTTGTTGTTTGTTTAGTTATTACATGCAGGTGTGTCACCTGATTATATGTATTAATTTAAATTAATTATGCTCCTTTTGGTCACTTTGTTTGGATCTATTCTTTCAAACTAACTAGTCTTGATCTTTTTGTTTGCTTTTAATGTAGTTTTTGGAGTTCAGCAATCATCTTGCTGGTGTTAGCGATGATTGTTGTTGATCTTATGGTATTTTTACATATTGATGTCTACTTCAAAATTTCTTTCATTTGATGTTTTACTTGCACATTCTATTTGTTTTTTTATATGACCACTTGTATGATGAAACTCTGCAGGGTGTGATGGCAATTTTGAGAATCCAACTAAATGCAGTGTCTGTTGTGAATCTTGTTATGTCAGTAGGCATTGCTGTTGAGTTCTGTGTGCATATAACACATGCTTTCATGGTCAGTATTTCTCTTCTCAAGTTAATTGTTAATATATGCTGTGTCCAAACTCAACAGCTTGAAGACCTCCTCCACCCCTACCACCCAAAAAGAGTGCCCTTTTTGCCTCGTTTATTTTTTGCATTTTGGTCGAAAGTTATTTTTCCTTCTCTTTTTGGCCATGATATGATGTACATGATGCTTTGCTAGCTTGTTCATTTAAGTTCATTGTGCAGGTAAGCGGTGGGTCTAAAGATGAACGTGTGAAGGAGGCTCTCAGTACTATGGGGGCTTCTGTCTTCAGGTTCTTTTTCTTCTCTTTCACTTTTATGCTTCAGATCAGTCCTCCAATTTGGATTCATCTGTGATCCGATTTCTTAATGTCCTAGTTGTTCTTACATTTAATTCTATGCATCAAACTCTCATTGTAACGAATCTGGTTTTTCTTACATTTAATTTTAGTTATTATCTTGTTAGAACTTCTATTCTTTTTGCCGCCTTTTCTCCCCCTTTTTCTTTTTTTGTGGTAAATTGTTCTTTTTGCTGCTTATGTCTTCTTGATGTAAATGTTCCAGTGGTATAACACTAACAAAGCTGGTCGGGGTGCTGGTTCTATGCTTCTCAAGGACTGAAGTTTTTGTGGTCTCTGTTCCAACCTTGACATCGCAATTTATAGAAGCTGATTTTTCCAATAATATTAATCTATATTTCCCGTGGTTTGCAGGTTTATTACTTTCAAATGTACCTGGCATTGGTCCTTCTTGGTTTCGTACATGGGCTTGTATTTTTACCAGTAAGTCAATGATGTTTCTACTAAATTCCTTCTCAGAAGTGATTGCATTCACCTTTTTACAAGCAATGAGAATTGCAAAGAAGAAAACGGTGATCTTGCTATTGATTTTGATGTATGAATTACCAAACACCTCCCATCAAATGACACAAATATATGTTTAAAGCAAAATGCAATGCCTACTTTTTAGCTGTGTAGACATATCCTCTTAATGGTTTTCTTCGTCTGCAAATTGCAGGTTGTATTGGGCTTGTTTGGACCACCCTCGAGGTGTGTACAAGTTGAGAAGCAAGAAGAGCGGCCGTCAGTTTCATCACAGCCATGAGAATAACATTTGACGCATCAGAAAAAATTTCGAATTTTGTAGGTTTCAATTAGCCTCCTTTAATACCTAAAATTCATGTGAAGGACGTCCAAGAATTAAGGGGGAAAACTCCTAACATGTAAAGTTCTTAGAGAAATCGAGTAAAATAGGAAAAACAAAAATATGCATTTTCAAGATTGTCAATGTTCTTTGCAGCTAATTGGAGCAAAGTAGTTCTCTTGTTTTTCTTCTTGAAATTTGTCGGGAATTTTGCATTTTTTAGGCCTTAAATTTGATCAAGAGTTTAAAAGGGCTGGTTAGATTAACAGAATTAGGCCAATAGCCCATAAAACCACCGCCTAACTTAGCTGACTGCTAAAAGTTTCAGATTGGGGCTGTTAGCATAAAAATTGGCGCTTGGACTAGAGGTGCGTATGGTACATTTATTATTCGTAAATATTTTATTTATTTAAATAAGTATTTTATTTGAATTGTAAAAAAATTAGATAAATAATCAGTTTAAAAATAATATATTTGTAGGTATTAAATTAAATAATAAATATAAAAAATTTAAATTATTTATTTAACCTGTTTGATTGACTCATTGAAATTTTATATATATTTATTACGTTTAAATTTATATAATAATAATTTTTTTAAAATAAAAATAATAAAATACAAAAGTAAAGTTTGTAAGCTAGAGAAATTACACATCTAACAATAACGACTGATATAAATAATAAACCTATTAAAGATTTGTTGGTTAAGTATAAGGAAACTTGGATCATGATCTTGAGTTTGAATTTTATAAATGGAAAAACATATGTTGAGAGAGTTTTTTCTTATGAGATTTGACACGGCTCGATTTAAAATTAATCGAGACTTAATGCGGTTATTGGATACTAAAGATTAATATTAAAAAATAATAATAAACCTTAATTCAAAAAATGATCTACACAACAATATTAATTTATATAAATAACAAACTTTAACACATGACATGCAGTAATTACAGTTTGTATAAGGTTATATTTGGGTAAGTATCAAGTCTAAATAATTATACCTTAAAATTTTTAAGTCAAATATCAAATATAACTCGATTATACCTCACTTTACTAAAAAAAATGCTCACCCCTAGTCTGCATCGGTGAAATAGATTGCCCTTAAATGTCTGTATTGTGGTCCACAATGTGGTAACCGGATTGAATCAATTGGCCCATAACAACAATCTGTGTTGCCCTCTTGGCCCAAAAAGTCATACCTTAAAATTTTCAAGTCAAGTATCGAATATAGCTCATATCAAAAAAAAAATTGCTCACCCCTAGTCTGACTGGTAAAATAGATTGCCCTTAAATGTATGTATTGTGGCCCACAATGTGGTAACCGGATTGAATCAATTGGTCCATAACAACAATCTGTGTGTGTTGCCCCCTTGGCCCAAAATGTCTTTTGGACTGGTGGGAGTATGAAGTTATTGATTGGGCCAACTGGCCCAAAAAGTAGCATCTAATCGGTTTGTCTCAATTTGAGCCCCTACTGATCCATCATTAGCTGCTGACTGCTGAGGTTAGTTTTTAAATCCTTCACATTTTACAGTAGACTGAGAAATAAAATGAAGCCAAGTCCAACATGGATAGCCTTGTTCTTCCCAATAAATCATAGATCTGAATTCGAGTCTTCTGACACTCAACAAGTGGTGAGTAAAAGATTGAGATATGATTGTACCATATTTTAGTGGATGAGTAAATAGTAAGAAATAATTGTTTTTAATTGTGCAGTTTAATAGGTGTTTTTTTCTTCTTGCCAAACAATGTAGTAGTTTGATTTGGATCATATCAAAACCCAAGACCAAACCATTTGGACATCTGCTGGGAGACATACAGTAAGAATACATACATTTCCATTCATTAAATATCATAAAAATCTCAATCTAATCAATTTGGACACTTTACATCAGACTTCTATCATTTTATTGCTGGTTACCACAACATCAACAAACTTTGATAATATTTTCTCTTCATCTTCTTTGACTAAAAATCAACAAACTTGATGCACAACTAAGTTTCAGATCCAAAATCTCTTCTACCCTACAGAAAAACATTCATGAACTCATACCTGATTTACCGAACTAAAAATTCTCTCTTTGAAATGCAATTTGCTGAGTGGGAACACTGCTTCTGCCACTCCAGCATTATACCAGCTTTGTGCTTCAGGATTACCATTTAGGCAAAGAACCCTTGCTCAGGCTTTCCAGCAAGTCTAAATCCAAGATCCAAGCTGATGCAAATACAAGTATACAACAAAAGGTCATGAAGGGCCACATGTTCTTGAATACCTGTCCAAATGATTATGAGAAACCTGTAGTTTTAGTCTGATTGGGTTGCCCTCAGATGATTGACAGACATCAATACACTCCTCCCAATCTGCATCACATGTCAATAAAATCCACTCAGAATCATCATCCAAGTACTTGAGATCATATCTGGTTATATTGTCTATGTTAAACCGTCTTGCAATTTCTTTCAACAAATCTTTGAATCTCCATTGATTCTGCATGCGGAACCGGATCTTTTCATCCCCGTATGTGACTTTTATCCTCTGTGCAACTAACTCTTGAGCCATCTGGCCATTGCCCCTTGGTAGAAGACTCTCTGAAGTAGACTGCTCCTTCAGAGATTTTTGGCTCTGGGATCTTGGCAATTGCTTTATTCCTTCTCGACCTGAGGCCTCCAGCTCTGCATGGCTTCTGACTCTTTTTAGTACTCCATCACCTAAGCTCTCACCAAGCATGAGATCTTCAGAACCAGAAACTTTAGATGTAAAATATTGTGGTCTTTCACTGGAACAGCTATGGCTTGAACCGGAACTCTGACTGCATGATGAAGAGGGTGAGTTTGAAATGGCTGCTTGAGAGCTGAGAATGCCACCCTCAGGCTGCCTGCTTGACAAGTTGGGATGATTGCACAGCTTTGAAGTTGCAAATGTGCTGGATCCTGATAGTTTTGGAGAGGCCAGCTCTGGGAAATTTGCATAGAAGGAACCTATTTGAAATGTATCAGAGGCACCTTGGACTGAGTTAATCACATTTTGCAGCTTCCTTAAAGAGTGATCGACCTTCTTGAGTTTTCGAGAAGGCCAACGTTGTATTCCATGTTGCCTACATATCCTTTTCAATGTCGTGGGGCAAACTGAGAATGAAGGAAAACAAAGAAACATTACTCAAAAAGAATGACAGGACAGAACTTATATTTGTCTTTACAATCAACTTCAGCACATGGCAATGGTATTTGATAAAACACATCTCAGACAATACGACGGAGATAGACGTCCAGAATTCAAACATTTCAATTTTATTTTGCCCGTCAATACAAACTAGTTTTCGGAGAAGAGTCAAAATTTAAGATTTTTACCTGACAGAAAAATATCCAATAAATTTTAGCTTTTAATGCAATAGGACTTACTGCCAAGACTCTTTGCAGCATCCTTTAGGCTTCCAGCAAAATATTGACGGAGAACTTCCAAGGTGATTGTTTTCTCTGCTTTTGTACGTCTTTTCTCTCCTAGCTTTCCCCCAGTCAGACTTGAAAAGCCAACCTCATTAAAAGTAGAATCTCCACCATGCTCTATACTTCCTTTTAGGTAAGAATCTTCATGATGCTGCCTCACCTCAGAGACATTCTTATTAAACATTGGACTTGTTTTATCATTCTGAAATACTGAGGCAACTTTACTGCCTTGTTGAACCTCATTAGGGCTAGTCCAAGATGAATTTTCTTGAGAATACCTTCCAGTATCAGCATGTTCCCCTTTCAATATCTCTTCTCCGTTAGGAATGCCATATGATGGGACTATTACCTCACTAACCAGAGAATCTGTTTCTTTTGCTAGCTCCTTATCTGTGATGACCCGTAAGCTATGGCACACATTTTGTATGATGATGGATAATGAGTGTAGCATCTTCCTCTGTTCTTCAATATCTGTGCAATCTGTTGGTAAGAAGAACTCCAAGACAAAGTCAGCTGTACCAGTGTCAATGGAGCGCAGACGTATTGCCACAGCACCTTGCAGCCCAAACATTGTTGCATGGTGTGAGAGGGGATACTCAGTCTTTTTATAGGATGTTATGTTAGGAGAGAAGCAGGGTTGGTTAGTCATAAATGCTTCCCCAACAACACCCTGACCTTTTAACAGGTGATACTCAGAGCAGGCCTCATGAAAAGCCTGGATTCCAGGATAAGCAATATAGCAAGCGTCATCTATGGTGGAAACACAATTAACATAGTTCTCATTGGAGTGAGGGCACCCTTCTTTACCCTGTTGGATGCAACGAACCCAAGTCTGTGCTAGGGGTAATTTCTGAGTTTCACAGGCACATCTCAAGACCTCTTTGATCTCAGGTAAGGCTGCTTCATAGGATTTACTGCAAACCTGATAAAAAAAAAGAATCTACTTCATATGCTCAAAGAAATTTGAAACTTTTTGTCAAGAAATTTCACTTTGATCCCAATTAGTAATTACCTTTACATTTTGAGAGCTTGAAGCAATAGAACTTGTAAGGTTAACGGCCTGCATGTAAAGGGACCAGGATCAAAAAGAATTCTCGGGAATAAACAGCATTTACAAGCACAATGCAGAAAAGGATTGCTGAAACAGGTACACAGTTATTCATATATACATCATGTAACAGATTATAGATTCTTATTTCCCATTATAAACATGAATGAAAAAAAAAAAAATCGATAGGAACATAAATAAATAACAATTTTTCTTAACAGTGTTCTGTCCTAATGGTGCGGTCGTTGGGTCAAAAAGATTAATTGATTAGCAGGAGTAGTTCCAACAGGAATGTATATAACATAAACTGCATGGCTAGTAGCTCAGCAATAGCTTGAAGTCGCATAGGGTTTGGGTTAACTCTTATATGATAACAAAGAGATAAAAAGAATATGAGTAGGAAAGAAAGCAAGGAATGTATAGGAAGACACTTTTCAATAGATGGATTTGTGGCAATTGTTTGCTAAGACTCATGCCAAAGATTAATTGATTCTCATCACAAGTTAAGAATTTTCAGCACAAGTTTGCTGAATTTAAACACAGGAAATGAACCACATCCATTTTTCTTCTTTTATCTTTTTAAAAAAATCAAGCAGCACATGAGCAAAGAAGATGTGACCTCCAGTGCTTTGCAAACATTTTCAAGCTCTGGACGATACTTGATCTTCTGGGTAGTCGTCACAACCTCAATAACCCCCAAGCAAGTCCTACTGCCTTGTTCAAAAACAGGAAGGGCAAAGCATCCATGAATGTCACATTGCCGGGCATGATCTATTCTTGGATATTCATCACTTCTAAAGAACCTGACATCAGGAGTCCACTCTGGTACCTTATCCAAGAATACCCTCCCAGGCATCCCTGCACTATCCTTGGAATCCTCCTCAGCTGGGAAATGATATCTAGCAGATATGTCTCTATAATTTGCAAGCCTCCAACTGTTCTGATTCAGTGAGAAAGGTTGATCATCTGTAGTTAGGAAGCATCTACCTCCTCTATTTACAGGTACCCATAACTGTACAAGGACATCTTTATCTATTGCAAAATCTTTAATGTACTCAAGTGCCTGAATTAGTCTTTGCAGCATTACAGAAGTTGCAGGACCTGGGTTAGCTCTGGGTGCAATCCACCACCTTCTGATTGGTTCAGAAACTTCAGCTAAATAATTTCCTGGCTGATCGTAACTTCTGTCAAAATCAACCATGTTCTGTCTAAATTGAGGATTCACTGAACTTTCTTGTCTTTCATTCAAGTTTGAACTTTCTGGCAACAATGACCCTTGCCTCTCTTCTTGATAGCTTATTTGTGATGCTCCAGTGCACGAAATTCCATTGTTATTCTCTGACGTAGGCCATACAAATGGAGTGTCAAACAAGGCATTTGAAGTCGATGGACTAGGGTTAGGGAATTCAGATCCATCTGTTGTCTCCAACCAGCATCCATCTAACAACAGCTCATCAACAAAGTCAAAGTCCATAGCTGAATCCAAAGGAACAGCCAGCATTGAGCCTGGTGAAAAAGTAGCATCTTCCATGCTGACCAAACTGAAGCCCCCAAAATGAAGCTCTTATTCAACTTAACTGTAGAGATCCAAGATCACTCCAATGTCGAGCACTACAACAACTTACCAGATCAGTTCCGGTCTTCAGAAGCCTATCCTCTCCTAACTGCTCAGATTCAAGCATAACCACCACACAAATCTGAGAAACTAACAAAAGAAAGATGGAATTCCAAAGAGATTTGGAAACGGGAAATTTAGAAGATAGAAAATAACATGTGAATATAATATGAAGATTGGTTCTCTCTCTCTCTTTTTTTTTTTTTAATTTCACATCCTCTTTTCCAAATCGGTCAAAATAGGAAAGCCAAATAAAACCGCAACAGTCGAATCAAGAATATCACCCAATTTCAGAACCCACTATCTCAGCTAATTTGAAGATGCAAAAGGTCTTTTAAGAAGAAGAAGAAGAAGGAAGAAGAAGGAAGAAGAAGAGAAGAAATACTAAAACTCACTCTCAACATATTCTTTGAAGCTGGTAAAAGGAACCCCTTTATCACTTTCGATACAAGATTTTATCCTTATTCCCAGGAAAAACGAAATACTCCTGAAAACAGTATCCCCAAAAACCCATATCTCCAAAGCTAAACCAATATAATAAACGAACAATAAAAACCCAAAAACAAATTCTGAAAAGGAGATAAACATATTTGATGGGAAGGGGAAAGGGGAACATAGAATCACTCACCATATACTCTTCGCTGATTCTTTGAAGATACCCAAATCCAAATATAATAGTGCTGTAGTTCCCCAGAAGACGACCCCGAAAAAATCTGTCCCCAGAGCAGGAATATTAACAAGAGGGACCTCAGAAAAGCTTTAAACAACCTGTCCCATATACGACCTCTTCCTCACCTCCACAGAAATTATCTGTGCTTCTCTAGAAATATAAGACATCCAGACAAAGGCGGCTGGAGGAAGAGTGTTGAGATTCTAATACCCAATCAAAGGGGACCCAACACAGACAAAAAAAAACAACTCTTTTGACGATTGGATTTGTGGATGGTGAAGTCAAAGTTGCAGAGGCAAGGGCTAAGGAGAGAAAATAACAATACCCTTTTGCTGATGGTTATTATTTTTTTTCCCCTTTTTCGGCCTTACCCTGTTGCTGATGGATGATGTTGAAGGGAATTGGTAGAATACTCAGAATGGAATAAGATTTCCTCAAGTGGTAGAAAAATTGGTGAGGGGCCGCGATGAACCCACTTCCCGTCTTGAGATGCTTCGTTTCCCTCCCCCCATAAATTATTCAACAAAATGAGTACAATAAAATATTCAGCAACTTCTGGAGCCGGGTCGATGGTACCCAAGTGGGCGGGTCTCTGTGACCCTGACTCAGACCTCATTTCGACGGTTAAAACTGTGGATTTAACAATTCACAGCTCCTCTCCTCTGTGTCTTCTTCTCCATCAATCCATGGCGACTGTTGTGCCGAAGCGGTGGCTGCTAGACAACACTGAACGATAGAGGAAAGGTCGGTAGAATTTTTTTTATTTAATTTTTTTTTTTTTTGTACTTTGGTTGCAGAGAGAAGGTAATTCCATTTTTTTTTAAATTTTATCTGAATTTTATGCTCAAATTCAAAAATTTTTATTATTAATAAAAAAAATTATTATTAAATTATTTAAATGTTAATTTTTTATTTAATTATTATCTCTTTTCTAAAAATACGTGATTAAAAGAATACGTGATTAGATCTAACGATACAACCAACACACTAGAAAATTTAATACTACCAGATTAATGGAGTAGACCTTTGAGGTGGAAGGTTAAGATTATAGGCTAATTCAACTATTTTATTCCATAAGCTGACGCCAGGGGGGGGAAACTTTCTACTACAATACAATATGTGTGGATTGCTTGAACAAATGGGAAAAAAAGATAAATATACAAACTCAAGGGATGTAACATTTTTAAAATTTAAGCTCTATATAAATAAAAAGAGATCAATTTTTAATAAAGCATTACATAAAAGAATAAAGTAGTATTATTTTTGTTTTAAAAATAAATTATTTTAATTATTTTAATAAAATTTATTAAAATAATATAATTTTAAAATATTTTTTTTACCTATAAACCTTTTTTTAAATAATATATATATATATTTCTTTCCTCTCATTTTAGTGTTGGATAGCCTAGTAGTGGGCCGGTCCTTGATGAGCCTATTCGTGCTCGATCTTGAGCCAATCCTAATCTAGGCCAGTTTGTGAGGTGTTCACAATTTTTATTTTTTTTAAACAAGGGGAATTTAAGGAGATGAAAAATAATTATTACAAATGTTTCCATAGAGGTTTGAGCTTTGACATAGACTAAATTTTTGCTGCACGTTATCAGTCCATATCCGCTGCTAGTGCAGAGGGGTTCACTATTTTTTAAAATGTAAAATTGAAAAATTAATCAATTGGAAATCAGGAGTTCACTACAAGAAATGAGGGAAAAACCCAGTGTTTTTTTCACTAAAAAGTAACATTTTTAAACGTTGTATTAAAATGTTCCAACGTTACTTAAAACGCAATTGAGAGGCCGTCTATACTGCCATCGCGTTTTGTACCCAATAGCGTTTTAAGAGGCACTGAAATGGTATACCCAAATGTAACCTTTTTAGGAAAGGCTGTGATAATGTATCGAAAATGCTGACATTTTCACCACTAGGAATACAATGCCAGAGTT